CAAAGGAAGGATGAAAAGAAAGTTAAAAACTCTCCTATATTCAGGGCCTTTTCCCCTTTTAATACAAAGTTTTGCTCTTTTGTTATTATTATTTTACCATTTTATAAAAGCTTTTTTTGTTTCTCAAACACAGGTAAAGCATCCGGAAGTTGCTCAGTTTCTTGGAGGAAGGCTTTATGATTGTGTCTTCAAATATAATGAAGCTTCAAGTTAAATAGTTTAGCTATCAACTATATCAGTTCTTTCTGGAAGTTTAGACAAACCCAACAAATTGAAGATTATGGTAAATCATTATATTGGATATTATTTTCAACTTTTCTTGAAGATTAGATTGCAAATGAAGCATCATCTGTGTGCTTAGGTGCATCTGCAGTAGTGTGGCCATGCAATGAAGCATCTGTGTGCTTAGGTGCATCTGCAGTAGTGTGGCCATGCAGGTATCACAGTTGCAGCTTGACTACCCAGCAATCTTTCCAGCAGTAAATGCCTCTTTTTTCTCCTGTAGTTTTCGGAATCACTTGTAATAAAGATATTGGCTAGCTACGATTGAAGAGGTTTTATCAATAGAATTCTCATTTATTCGTGATCTAGGTACTAGATGTTGAACATATACAGATACAAGACACAACGTTAAGGATGTGGTGGGATGGATGGATTCTTCCATGCTTAACCAAAAGGTCTTATGTGGCAAATTGGAATTAATTGGGTCATGGGGAGACTATACTCTTGTTTTGCCCATACTTTCTCAATACTAATGAGAATAATTCATAATTAAAAGGGGGGAAATATGATTGTGGCAAATCATAATTTTCATACTAAGGATGTCTTCACTTAGCACATTAATCTTCCTTGCTTTTCAAAAGTATATTCCTTCTAATAGCATTATGCGTTGTTATTTTGTTACTTCTATTAACAAATTACCATAAAAAAATTAGAGAATTCCTAATTTGTGGGTCGAAAGTAGCAAGATTTTTATTAGTGACATAAAGAGCTAGGGTGTGGTAAATGGTAAAATGGAATATTCTTTCTCCTTAAATTATATGTTTTGGTTACGGTGATTGTAATATCTAAAAGTTTAAACTAATGAGAATAAAAAAATTCTTATTGGCAGCGTCATACAAAAGTTGTAGTGAAATATTTGGTAAAATAGAAAAAAGAAAAGAGATAAGAAAACTAGTGTTAGGCCAAAACCGTTTGCACGGCTCACTGTATCATCATCAATGGCTGCTCTGTCTGCTTCTGCCCATGTGAGCATTCGCACCTTCTTCCATTCATCTTTCACTAACAATAAAATATCAAACTTTTCCCAACAATTCAAACTTGAAAATTATACCACTATTACTACGACTTCGAAGAGAAGCATCTCCATACCCGCCTTGGCACCAAAGACAACGGAGAACTCAGCTTCCCAACTCCAATCAACTACAAATTCCGTTAAAGGTAAGCACAAAAATACACCATCAATATCAGAAATCAAAAAAATTGGGTTTCGTCCCCGAGAAATTTACCGAAAATAGTGATAGATTGAGACTTAATTACCAAACATAACAATAGTTTGGATAATTACCAGATGTAGCAACAGGGGTTATATCATTGATATAGCAATAGATACATACAAACCAATTGTGGTATAGAGTGAATTTCAGAGAACTGTTGTAATAGTGATGCAGGGGGGATTTCATAAACTTTCTCTGTGTTTGATTGTAAATTTTTCAAACTATTCTAAAAAACATGTCAAACAATATAACTTACCAAACAAAGAGAATGTCTTAGTGAAAGATATTTTGATAAGTTTTTTCATAAGTAAATTTGAGTGACATATTTGTTCAATTTTTAAATGGCTGGTGAAAATATAGGTTCATGTGCTAATTTTGAGTAAATTTTCGTTTCTTTTTTAACTTGTATGGACTCTGAAAATATCAATTTGAAAGGATGGGCTGAGTTTGCAAAAAATGTGTCTGGCGAATGGGATGGGTTTGGAGCAGATTTTAGCAAGCAAGGTGAGCCGATTGAACTACCGGAGTCTGTAGTCCCTGGAGCTTACAGGGAGTGGGAGGTGAAGGTATTCGATTGGCAAACTCAATGTCCTACTCTTGCTCGTGATGATGATGCCTTCTCTTTCATGTACAAGTTCATTCGGCTCCTTCCTACTGTTGGCTGTGAAGCTGATGCTGCAACTAGGTATAGCATCGATGAGAGGAATATTTCTGATGCCAATGTTTCTGCCTTTGTGTATCAATCCACCGGTTGTTATGTGGCTGCCTGGTCCAATAATCATGATGGAAATTATAATACAGCTCCTTATTTGTCATGGGAATTGGAGCATTGTTTGATTGATCCTCGGGCCAAGGAGTCGAGGGTGCGGATTGTTCAGGTTAGAGGTCATGCCGTTTTTATTGATTGATCAAATGGTCACTCAAGTAATAGTTGTAATCTCAGAAAAGTTACTTTCTTTCTTGAAGAAAATTGGTATCAAGACGAGAGTTGACTTTCTATGATATGAGAAATCAATCCTTTATTGTTTTACCTTCCCAAATTTAATTCAATCCGCCCATTTGTCACCTCTGATTCAGGTTGTGCGCCTTCAAGATTCAAAGTTGGTATTGCAAAACATTAAGGTGTTTTGTGAGCATTGGTATGGGCCGTTTCGAAACGGGGATCAGCTTGGTGGGTGTGCTATTAAAGATTCTGCATTTGCTTCTACCAAAGCCTTGGACCCTGCAGAAGTCATTGGTGTTTGGGAGGGTAAGCATGCCATCTCCAGTTTCAACAATGCTCCAGAAGTAAGCACTAAATGACCCTATCCATTGAACTGTGCGACGTCTCACTAAAAGTAAACATGTACAATACTATTTGCTATTTGGGTGGTGGTGAGATTTGAACGCATGACATCTTGCCTGGCTCTAATAGCATGTTAAATTGTGTGACCATCTCATCTAAAAGCTTAAGTAGCTTGAGCATACACTTCTAATTACTTAATTATATTATGTCTCTCCACTATCATCCTGCTATTATCAAGTTGAAGCAGGCTTTCTACCCGTGACTTGCAAGGCTGACTAACATTACATAACACATAGTCCAGAGCACTGAATATCCTATTTGATCATTGTAATTGTAGGTTTTTCCTTTCTCACCTTGTTTTTAGTGCAGCTTCAACAACTTCATTTGGAGCATAATTATATATTTTCACATTTAAGTGCCTTGACTGCAAGTTTAGAAGTGTTTTCAGAATTGTACTTTGAGAATTTTACCATACGTTCAGCCATTTGCTTTGACTTCCTACCCCAGTAGCTGACAACCATAATCTCATACGTTTATTGCATCCAAAGATAACCTGGGATGGGTAGAACTTCGAAGTTTGAACATAGAAACCAGACGCTTCACCTTATTTCTAGATCAACAAACAAAGTGCTAAAGGTTCTTTTAGTTGCTCATTTGTCACTTTCTGCTACCTTGTTTTAGTTTAGGAAGAAATCTGATTTCTTTCAAACCAAAGCCAAATGTCTTGTAAACCAAAAGTGATTAACTGATAGTGAATGTGAAAACAAATTGAGTAGTGGTGTGTTAGTGTCCAGATCATTTCAACACACTCGGCAGAAGGTATCTTCAATATTGATTCTTGCTTACCTTTCTATACATTTGGGAAGCGCACATGGACAGAAATAGTATCTAAAAGGCTAGCGTAGACAGAAATAGTTGTCTACTTTAGTGCTTGTACTCTTGCTGAACTGAGGATGATAATGGGACCTTATAAGGGTTCCTTAATAATTCAGTGAAATTTCCATTTTAATCATGTTAGATGTTCTTTTCTTGGTCAGGCAATAAAAACCTTCACACCATAATCAACAAGGATTCAAACTGTTGACTTGATGGCAGAGTAGTTAAAAACTAAATTAGATTGACAAATAGAATAGTGCACCAAACACCATCTTATTGACTCCACTTTTCAGCTTATCCGTTTTCAAAATTGAAGTTCTTTTGTTGCTTGCAATGTCTGGTTAAATCAGAGATAAAGATTTTTTAGCATGTCAGCATCAGAAGGAATAAGTAATGGGGAGTTCTGAATTACACTTCCAGAAAGTTATTCAAGAGCTTGTCGATGGCAGCACCAGGAAGACAGTAAGAGATGAATTAGACCTCGTTGTGCTCCCAAGACAACTCTGGTGTTGTTTGAAAGACATTGAAGGTGGCGAAACATGCTGTGAAGTTGGGTGGCTGTTCGAACAAGGACGTGCCATGACATCCAAATGCATATTTTCTGATAATGGGAAGTTAAAGGCAAGTAGTTTTCTTTTTGTTTCTCCTAAAAAGGAAACTTTTTTGTTACTTATTTATTCTCAGTCTGTTTTTAAGCTTTTGCTGCTTCCATATCATCGATATACCTTATTAAACTTTGTATCTAATCAAAATTAGATGAACAAATTGAAATGGAGAGGGTATCAACTACCCAATTTTTTAATGGATCACCATATCCAAGCACCTGCTTATTGTGACACTCTGTTTGATTATTCGTCAGGAAATTGCTATAGCATGTGAAAGTGCAGCACCAGCACAATAGGGGTCAGTTACCTACAACATATGGCCAGAGCAGTAGGAAGACAACTGTTCAATTTCCCTTTCCCAGATTTAAATTAATGGACAGGAAGTATATAATTGTATATTCAACATTGGTTTATTCACAAGTGGCAACAATTCTGTGTAATAATGGTCTGAGATAAATGATATTGGTTGATATAAGCTTACGTGGAGTGAGAAACTATTAGTGAGAATTCATATAACCGATCTCAACTTGATTGGGATTGAGGTATAGTTGTTGTAATAACTAATAACCATTCTCTGCTAATGACTTCTCTTAGTTCCTTGTACCAAAATATTGATATGCCTTGGGGGATTTTTTAAAAAAAAAGAACTTCCATTAAAGTAAAACATTACAATATTACTATAAACAAGCATAAAAATAAATAGCATAAATTATCATGAGTAGAAAAGGCGAAGAATCATTCATGGAATAAGACATCATAAGATAAAACAACTTAATTTAACAATTTGAAACAAGAACGAAAGCCTCAACTAATTTGAACACATAAGTTGGAACATTTTCAACACTAAGACCTAAATAAAAAGCTCACAACAAATCGTGGAAGCATAGAGCTGTCCGATAGGGTCTTTCACTCATCCTCTTCTACGCAAACTCGAAGGTACTGGATGTTACTTTGGATGAAAGTCTATTGCCCTGGCCTCTTTTCTGTACAACCTGCAAACTAGCCAGTGCCAAAATTAGAAACTTCTTTAGCAGAACACATGATCAATGCCAATCTTCTTTAGTAGAACCCAAAACAGTTATTAATGTGATTTTCTTTTAGGAGAGCTCAGAAAGTTAGGATTATGTAAGTTTCATCAAGGAGATAATGGTTCATCGCTTCTTGTAAAGAGAAATTAGCAAATGAACTTTGGATCTCAACAACTCAATTAGGACTCAAAGAAATGCATGAAACTTTGCTCTCATTGAAACTTGTAAACCTCTCAATCTCGTTAATCTTTCAATCTTTTTTGGAAGCTGGCTAAGAAAATATTTCTCAAAACACCAATTTTCTGCATCCACTTAAAAGCAAAGCATGAATTTCTACCGAATTCATAACTCTACTTCCCAACTCTCTAACCTCTTAGCTCGACATAACCCCACGCTACCCCTCTGTTCAGATTCAAAACCAAAAAGTATGATAGCTTCTGCTCCTATGCATCATTAGCACTTTTCTTTCCAACTATTTTCCTAACCAAAAAGTATGATAGCTTCTGCTGCTCCAGCTCCTCTGTCGTAGCCCTTTTCTTTCCAACTACATGATCCAACTATTTTACTTTTTGTTCCAATGAAGCCATCAAAGGACCTTCACAGTTACATCAAAATCAATTTACAACATGCTACTAATACATACCATCATACATTTTGATAGCATATTCACGAGCAGATCTTCAAGATCAAACATAGTCTGTTCACCATACCACCAAGTTTTGTGATGCCTTCCCCAATATAAACTCTGTACCACCTGGGTGTCCCAAATTCTCATTCATACCTCATGAATGCTCCACCAAGCATGTTAAGTTGCAAATCTGGATGATGCAAGACAACATTTCAAATAATCATCTACTGTGAGAAAACCCAATAGATTTTTCTATTCTGATAAGAGCGTGAATATAGAAGATCGACAGAGAGAATCCATATAGCCTACCCCAACTAGTTTAAGATTGAACTATAGTTGATTGATGGAAAAGTTCTCACTCTTCCTTCACTCTCTTGAAATGGGATAACTGTTCTTTTCACATCAACTGACGCCACCTACAAGACTGAGCCAGTCCCAAAATGCGGTTAAGCTCCTGATAAATCACAACTTTGGGGTAGTCTTGCCTAAGATGAAAAAAGTAAGCCAATGTCAGTCCTAAAGTTCCATCCTCACTGTATCTTCCTTTAATTCATGCATTTTCATATTGCATGATTCTTGACCTGAACCATGTCATTTTGTTCTCTGCCCTCAAAAAGAGCATCATGGGCTAGATACAGCCCTGTACAGAATCCCCTTTAGCTGATTTCCCACCCATTTCCCAAACCCCTTCCTCTCCCCGTCCAATTGTGAGCTCCACATTGTTATCGTTTCAAGTCAACTAAACAAAACCATAGGTCTAACAATACTGATCAACATCATGGTCACTTCAATCGAATATCCAAATTGGGATACTGAACATTATAATCTCGTAAGAGAGCACACCAGATTAACACATACACCTCACTGAACTTCAAAGGTTCAATCAAATTTTCTTAGCAACTTCCACTACAATATAGTGAATAACCGTACAAGATAGTTGGCAAACCTTGTCCCAGTAACTCCTATATCAGACCTTGATGTTGCGACTCAAGCATTACTCAAAGGAGGTGCAAGGCCGACAGAAATAACAAAACAGACACAATATGCACCACTGCCAATGGTAAAAACAAGGTCGAATCATTAATGCAGTTGTCAAGGAACTTTATGATCAAATGCCACTAGACAGAATTTCTCAATATGAGAGCCATTGCAAATAGTGTAAAACCAACCCCTCTTGTACATTGCCAATCAATTGTCAATAAGAAACTCTCACTAATGCTTCTTCTTCCAGGTCTCGACTCCAAAAATCAGCCCAATCATTTTACAATTTTATGTAGGACAGCACAAGTGACTAAGTGAGTGCATAACCATAGAACTGAATAGGAAAAAAATCTTAAAAGACTCGAAGTCCAAAAGTTGAAGTACTCTAAATGTAGAATGGATACACACCTTTCCAATTCATTTTTTAGTAGAAAAGAACGTTTTAAGTGTACACCAAACACAATGCAAGCAGTAAAAGTGTAAAACTGATGCATTTCCACAAAAAGGATTACTTTGAAAGAAAAAAGGGAGGCAGGAATGTACCTACTTGAGATGTCTGTCTGAGAAGCTACTGAGCTCCCGGTGCATCTCTCATGCTCAAATTCAGACTATTTCGCATTGTTCGTCTCCCTATACACGGATTTCCTTTTTGCATCATAGCAACAAATTCTCCATAATCAATTCGTCCATCCTGGAAAGAAGTGCACCAGGAAACAGATTAGTATATGTGACAAGCAACAAATATAAAAATAAAACGAACCATTATATGCATATAATCACAGAGATTTTTCAAAGGTAATATTCCCTACATGGTGGGCAGATTTAGGCACAAACTCTAATGAATTATATTATTGGGTTTTGCCTGCATGGAGGCATAAAATCTACTAAACTGATGAGGATGTGAGTTTGTGGCAAACATTTGGGAAGCTAAAATAACTTTTGATGGAGATTAGGTGTTTGGGCAAAATGCCAAATGGAATGTGCTTTTAAACAACAGCAAAATCAGTTCTCCTGAGGTAGGGAAGAAACTGCATATCCTTATCAATATTTTTTATTTATGAAACTATCCCTTATTGAGTTTTAAAAGGAAATCAACTATTAAACTGTTGTCCCCTTCTCCTTCTTCACCGTGAATTTTTGCCATTTTCTTCCCAACTCTTTCTTTATGCAAATCTCACACCAAATGACTTCAATTAAGCAAATTGAAAAACTTACTCAAAGTCTCAAATAATAATAAAGTACCGACGCTTAAAAGCACTTTTTGAAAGGATTGACCATACTCAAAACAACTTTACTAATATTTAACAGCACTTCTCAAATGATTTGGCCAAACACTAACTACTACAGTTCCAAAATACTTCTCAAAAAACACTTATTGACTACTCAAAATAAGCAGATTTTAGAAAAGTTTGATCAAAGCAGGCTCATACTCAAGAAATACTTTACGTGATTTGAAATACTTAGAGATGTCTCTAAGTTTTGTACTACATAATTTAGTACTTTATCTTCTTATTATTCCTTTTTAAACACTTGGATTTATGAGCATAAGTTACATTTTCCATTCACTTTAATGAATCCTATAGTCCTTGCACAATCATTATTCCACAAGTGTGACTAGAAAATGTGAGGCTGAGATTATTAGCTTAGGCAATCAGACCAAATAAACTATAACATAATCTTCAAAGATACTCTTGAAAAGAATCTGAATGCGTCCAAAACTCCAAACATGGTGAATAATCAGAGATGTTTGGTAAACTAGTAAGAGAACTTCAATTTCATATTTAGTACCTAAAAGACCAATTTATGTTCTTAAACAGTGGACTTACATTATCCTGATCGACTTCTCTTATAATATCCTCAAAGTAAACATCTGTCATGTTATGCTCTATACAAGCTTGCTGGACCTCATCAACCGTTATGTAACCACTTCCATCCTTGTCAAAATATTGAAATGCGGCCATGAGATGTTCCTCGCGCTCCAATTTATTAAGATGAACAGTTGCCGCAATGAATTCTCCATAGTCAATAGTTCCACTATTGTCCACATCAGCCTGAAATTGCAAGTTAGCTACATCAATCGCCTTAAAGAGTTTAAAAGGAGCTTTGCATGAACATCATAGAAACACAAGTTGGTAGTTGAGGGAATCTAGAAAGATCAACAGAGATATCATGTGGACCGAAACAAGAGATAAAGTGATTCCAAGTCAGAGTTTAAGCCTGAACAATTTCCTCAACTTTCAAGGACTTGTAACACACAAAAGAAAAGCTGAGCAACTTGCAAATGAGCTTCAGAAGCTACAAAAGTACTCAATTAATTTAACACGGGAGAGAGCCGAAATTCCAATTCAACTCTCCTCTTTCCAAACAGATAGAATTTACCATCATTAACTTGTGCAATTCTACAGAGATGAAGATTCTAAACTTCCTTAGAAGATAGTCTCGTCATTAGTGAAATGAGGAAGATGTTGGAAACATATTTTAATCACTTTGCAATAAAGAATGCCTTACCGCATCCATAAGTTCCCGTATCTCCGTATCCTTTAACGTAGACCCATATTTTCTCAACCCTGCTTTTAGTTCATCAAATGTAATTGCACCACTACTGTCAGTATCCATGGCCTTAAACATCTCTCTCAGACCAGCAATCTCTTCTTCAGACAAGCTTTCAGCAATCACCTGGAAGAACCCAGAGGAAACACAATAAAGTTTGTCAAAAGTATTACTATTTGATTTGACATTGAAGAACCTGAGTTTTACAGTATTTCTTGACGCATAAATTCATAACAAGATTTGAACACATACCCGCAAAGCCATCTTTTTTAACTTGTTCATAGCAGAGAACTGTTTCAGGCGAGAAAGTACTGCAGGATCCAGTGCTCTATCAGGAGCGACACCATTTTCACAAATCCAAGGATGACCTGCAGAATTTAGAGGATATTGTAATATGAACCTTAGTTCATTGATGTAGGCACATGTATACTACACAGATGCAATTTGATACACTTCAAACAGTGCAAATCGACACTTTTCCAGTCATGATGGACAAAAACTGTTACATAATAACTCAACTTTGACAAAGCATAACATCGTTACAAAATCTGCCTCTTGATTGTGTAACCATAAAAAAAAGAATCCCCAGATCCATCACCAATGAAAAGAACAAATAAAGTTTCAGGACAACATTACAAATCTGCTTTCTCCACTGATACATCAAGCAAGGCCAGCCAGATTATCCTCAACAAGGAGAATAAATGAAGCTAAAACAAAAATATTCCCTTGATAGACAAATAAAAGGTTGTTTTCACATAATAAGGTAATTAGATAAACATACACAATACTTCATGAGCAGTTAACCGCTCCGAGGGCTGCATGCACAACATCTTCCGGATAAGATCTTTTGCACTCTCAGATATCAATGGCCAAGGATCTGAGTCAAAATCAATGTGCCCTTTCAGAACTGCGTCAAATATTCCCTGCTGTGTTTCTGTAGAATTCAGATTGTGAGTTTATGGAGATGCATAGAAAGTTGAGAACATACCCTTTAAGATTACTAGAGGATATACCAGCCCAAAATGGTGGCACACCACTTAGCAGTATGTAGAGTATGACTCCTGCTGTCCACACATCAGCTTCAGGACCATAATGCTTCAAAAGCACCTCAGGAGCCACATAATATGGACTACCAACAACATCTGTGAATATTTGTCCTGCAAGAGCAAACAACGAATACCAATCAACCAACATTACAATATAAGGAAATGATCGAATGACTGTCCCTACTAAATCAGAATCTCAGAAACTAATATTTACTAATCTCCCAAATGTGACAAGTTAGGGAGGGATATATATAAGCATCTCCAAGAATGCACTTTAGTAATGATTCCAGCATCAACTTAGAAACTATCTCAGTGGAAAATACAGCCGTGAATATCTCAACAGAGAGGCATTAATCCAAGCATGCAAAAACTATTCTTGAGGAAATAAAACACAGGTTTGATAACAAAGCATTGCATAGGTGAAAAGAGAAGCATCAATTCATTAAAAAAACCAAACAAAGCTGTATTCTCTAACACAGGAATGATAAACATCCCAACAAAAGCAATTAAAACCAGAAAGGTAAGCTGAAACATCATTTACCTGGCTTGAAGAAAACAGAGAGTCCAAAATCAATGGCCTTGAGAGAGAAATCATTATCCTTATTAACCAACAAGAAATTCTCAGGTTTGAGATCTCTATGCATAACACCAAGAGAATGACACGCCTCCACAACCCCAACAATAATTTTAGTCAATTCAGCTGCCTTTCTCTCACTGTAATGTCCTCGTTGTATGATCCGATCGAACAACTCACCACCACTACATATCTCCATGACAATATGAACATATAAAGGATCCTCATAAGCCCCTTTAATAGTAACAATATTCCTATGACCAGACAAATGATGCATTATCTGAATTTCCCTTCTAACATCTTCCACATCCTCCTTCGAAATCAACTTCCTCTTCGAGATTGATTTACAGGCATACTCAGCACCGGTAGAATTCTCTGTGCATAAATAAGTAGTCCCAAACTGCCCTTGTCCTAATTTCCTTCCCAAAGTATAAAGATCGCGAATATTCGGGGTCATATGACCCATTACATAATAAGCCTGATTACTCCCGGAACGATTCATTCTAGCTTTTCTGGGACTAACAAGAGACAAAGAATGCTCCTTCTTGTGATTGCTATTCTGTTGAGCGTTACTGGTGGGAGAAAAATTGTCAGAAGAAGAATAAGAATTGCCGGAAGAAGGGTTATGATTGGTGGAGCAGGAACTATCTTCAGGCTGAGTGTAGCCCTGAAAAGTTTTGCCTCCAATAGATCCACGGCATGTATTGCCCATCAAACAAACACAAAATCACAACAACCCCTCAGCTCGGCAATGTCAGAATCAATAACACCTTCGTCATTCACAACTTTTTTTCTTCAACAAACTGAAAAAAACAACAAAAAAAATACTGGGTAATTCACAGAATTTGTAAAGAAGCTGAAATGAAGAAGATAGAACGTATTGGAAACAGATCAATATGGAACTTTGCTTGATGAATATTGGATCAAATACATGGAAATAAAAACAAGAACTTACAGAGGATAAAGATGAAATGGAGATTTAACGAACAAGAAGGATAGATCTGAAAGAAAAAAGGAGGAAGAGAGCAATTTTTCCTCTAGATGAGGAGGAGGAAGAAGAAAGGAAAGAGAAGAAAGAGAATAAATGGAGGTTCAACTCCAACAATGGTCAGCTTCAATTAAATGGTTGTAATAATATACTACTAGTGCCTAATTAATTTAATCTCGTATTAGTTCGTCACCTTACTAAAAAGATGTGACGATCTTATTTTACTTTCTAAATTAAAATAACATACTGTGACTAAAAAGAAATTCATATTTTTAATTGATTATTTTACTAAAAATATGTATCTGAAACTGCATGTTTACTTACTAAATCAAGATATTATTAATAACTAAAAAATCTCATTTTATCCTTATAATTAATACTCTTTGAAAGCTTAAATAAATTTGGAATTTCTAAAAGTTTCTTTTTTCAAGAGTTCATTAATTATGTTTTACTCCCTCAGTTTATTTTTACTTATCATTGTTTGACTTGACATATTTATTAAACAAATAATTATAGATTAAGGTATGTTATTACATTATCCCTACTAATTAATGTTTAGTATTGGATTTTGAAAATGATATAGAAAATAGTATTTAATGTTAAAGGTAAAATATCAAAAAAGTTAATTATTTTTTTCTTATATGTCAAAAGTGACAAGTAAAAATGAAAATTTATTTTAGAAATAAATGACACGTACAAGTGAATGGAAGGAGTATTTATTTTATCCATTCATGTCATATGCCATTAAGCATATTTTTCATAAATTATTTTGATGTCCATCAATATGGATAAAGGTAAATTAATAATATTGATCATTTTATTTATAATTTCTTAAATATTGTGTAAAATGAAGAATGATCAACTAATATGATATGAAGAAAGTAGTAATCAAAGTGCCAAGAAGTCTCGTGTTGAGTCTAAATTCAAGTCGAAAAGTTTCATATTAGGAAAGAACATTAAAGATGAAGCACTACTCATCACTTCAGCACAATTTTTATTCAGATAAATGAACATATTTTCTCTCCAATGTGATTAAAAAAAAGCAATTTTTTTTATATTCAAACCATTTATCAAGCTTTTAAAAAGCAAAAAAGTTAGAGAATAATAATTTACATTTAGCTGATTAATTTAAAAGATATTTTTATGAATGTAGAACCAAAAAAAAGTTCTTGGTCAAACTTTTGAAAAGTATTTCTTTAGGAGAAATTACATGCTTCAACTTTTGTTGTTATGCAAAAAGTACAAATTTTCAAAGAACAAAATATGATCAAATATCTCAAACTTTCTACAATAAATATATATATATTTTTAAATAGTCAAACAAACTATTAGTACTAATTCATTATAAAAAAATACATTTTTATTTTCATAAAATCAAATTACTAATTAAAATACATAAAATCGAAGGGAGGGAACACACACACATGCTATGAATATTTGATTTAATTAAAAATACCACTCCAGTATGTTAAAGCAGTCCAAATATGGCAATGCCTCGAAATATCATAAAGCCACGTGTCTTTGGTAGGTACGTGTATATTTTATGTGGCAGGACTTTTAAAAAATAATAATTAATATTTTATCAAAATATTTATTCTACATTCGTTCACTTTTAATTGTCATAGTTTCTTTTTTTAGAATCAAATGATAATAAATTTGACTAATATTTACGATGTATTTTTCCATCATATTGATATGCAAAAAATTGGAATTTATAATATTTTTCGTATGGTTTTTGAATATCTAAATTTTTTGTTTAAAATATCGAATTAATGTAATATAATTTAATTTTAAAAATTAGTCAAATTGACTTTTGAAAAGCGCAATATAATTAAAAGTGGACATAGAGAGTATTAATTAATGTATAGTTGCAATCTTAAAAAATTATAGAAGTAATTAATTTTGTGGGTAAAATATAAAAAAAGTTTATTAGCATATTAAGTGGCAAATTGAAGTGAATATTTATTTTTAAAAATATTACACAAGAAAAATAAACAAAAAGAGTATACTTTAATTTTTTTTAAATATTACAATTATGACACTCGCTCCATTCCAAAATAAATATCACCTTAATAAAAATTAGATTTATTAAAAAATTAAAAAATGTAATGTGTTATTTATTAAACTATTTATATTTAATAAATATTTTTTTGAAAACTAAACATCATTAAAAAGATGAAAAGTATATATAATTATAGAGTTGAAGGAATATATTGTTTTTTGTCTGAATTTCTAAAATAACACTTAATTTAAAAATATATTTTTTTACTAAAATACCACTTATTTAAGAAACAAAAACATGATTTCCAAAGCATAGAATTCTGAAATCCAAACAGCAAGAATCTCACTTAATGATATTTTTTTTTTCATCCTTTTTAATTTTCGTGAACAGAATTATTTAATTATCTATTATGGATAGAAGTAACAAATATTTTATTTTAAAAATTACTTAAAATAGACGCAAATTTATCCAAACATATATAGCATCAACAAGAACCCCACTTATGAATTTGGATATTCATTGGATACTGCACTATATAAAGACAGTTTTAATGGATGTCACCAAAACCAATAGGATTCACTAAAGAAGATTTAACCTAAAAAGTGAGATATTGGTAGGCTCTACTTTCCCCTAAAGCTAATCATGACATAACCTTTACATTATATGTTTGTTGTATTACTTTCAAATATATAATTCACATGTTATATATGATTAAACTATATGGTTTTGCATGTTGTAAATATTATTATTGTGGATTTTCACAAGTTTTTGGTATAATTTATATTTTCTAAGGTTTAAAATTGTTTTTTGTATAACACTCTTTTGATGTATGACTTTTTTTAATATTTCTTGATGTAATCTTATAAATAAATTTTTTGAAGAATTATGTTGTACACAATTGAAGACTTGAACATATTTTGGTTATAAAGAGGGGCTAAAAGGAGGAAGACAACATTTGCAGATATTTTGAAGTTCCGTCATTGTTTGTTTCAATGATGATAGAAGCAGACAAAGTAGGAACTCTTTTTATACGGCTTATAGAGCCTATCTCCTACTACAGAACGTTGCAGTAGTACTATTTCTAGTTTACCCCCCAACAATTATTGGTCACGTTGCCATTACCTTGTAATGATGCATATTAATTATTAATTTATTATCCTTGTTTATAAGAAAAAAGAAAAAAAAAGTTCTCTTCTTTTGTTTTTTTACATTTCTTGTTTACTTTAATTTTACAACACATTATCAGCATAAGCCTTTGATCTCCTCTGAGACAAGACATGCTAGCAAGCACTGACCTAAGTTGTCAATATTTGCCCATGAATTGATTAGTTTAAAGAATGCCCTTTAGTTATTAGCTTGATTTTTGGTGTAACTTGTGATGATTGTGAACTCACACACGTGATTAATTGTTTCAGGAACTCTCGAAGAATTTGGAGTTGAAACGAAGAAAGAAGGAACAAAAACAAGCCAACAAATGACTAAGGCAAAAGGCACAAGGGCTGGCGCACTGCTAGGCGCGCGCGCGAGGGCCTAAAGTTCAGAAAGACTTTTTGGGCGCACTGCTAGGTGCGATGCGCTAGCACCCAAAGTTCAGAGAACTTTCTCAAGCGCGCTGCTAGGCGCGCCGCGCCAAAGGGGAAACACATGCAACAACTGTTAGGCACGATGAGAGGCGCGAGGCTCTACGAAAATTTCGATTTTTCAACAAAAACATTAGTTAAAAGGATTCCTAATTTTAGTAGGTTTTGTCTTCAACTTTCCCTACTATTATAAATAGATCTTTAAGGCTCCATTATTGGGGTTCAACTTTTATTGGGTGTGCAAGAGCAGGACTCCAAGTTTGTAATAGGTTTTGATCTTCTAACTCTTTTATTTTTCATAAATCGCATGAACAATTGTATTTTGTGGTTTTCTAATAGCATGAGTGGCTAAACGCCCTTATTCTGGGGTTGTAGCTACGAATGAATTGTTGATTATTAAAGGCTTTTTGAATTAATTCTTGATTGTCATTATAAGTTACTTTTATATTCTTGTTTTAGTATTTTATGCTTGCGCACCATAAGATAAATATATTGTCTAATCTTAAAATCGAGAGAGGAGGGATTAGATAGACCAGAGAATATAGAGAGCTCGGTACACCCATTAAATTGAGGTGATTAGTGTTCGGGAGTGACACCCAGACGAACACCTTGCTTGGTTACGAAACAGGATGAAATATAAATGCTCGCCAGTTAGTCTATTTATCCCCGGCAGCAACGCCAAAAACTTGTTGCTCCCCAATATACACGCAAGTGTACGTGGTCGCGCAAGTAATATAGATTCTTTAAGAAATGAGTTATCGTTCCCAAGGGACTTATGATCAATTTATATTTAACACTTAATTCTACAAATAAAAGAAAAGTAACCATTTAAGAGATTGTGATGATTGTTATCTACTAATAATTATGCACTAATTAAATAAAAGTAACCAATTGTGAACGCCTTTAATATGATGATTCAAGCAAGTAAAATACAATGTGGAGCAACAAGTTTTTGAAGCATCTGATCAATGAAGGGAACGCCCATTAATATTGGGGAGATCCTGAGGCAAAATCATCATATTAACCAATTGTGGTTCTAGGCATTTAAAATAAGAATTTCTTCCTCTTCCCCCACCACTGCCATAACTCGACCCCCCCTAATTTTTTCTTAATTTTTTTTCTCTAGTCTTCTTTTCTTAACAGGTTGTAATGGCTCCTAAGGCTAAGAATGTGGTGGGTGCTAAGCGGAGTAGGAAGGGTGAAGCTTCCGGGTCCAGAAATTGAGAACCACCC